CCCTCCTCCAGACCTCGTAATGTGCCAATGCTCCAAGGCTCTGCCCCAGGCCCCCTCCTCTGGTATCACATTGTCTTCTCAGCGGCCTCTCCCAGTTTCGTAACTCTGTATAATGTCTATATACAAATCACCACACTATATCAATAATCCTGACCTCCACCTGGACTCCAAATTTGTATATCCAATTGATGGCAGACATCGGTTAAAACATAAAGTGATTGGCAGGGTATGGTGGCTCACAACTATAATCCCAGCACTTTGGGAGGCTGAGGCGGGCGGATCACCTGAGGTTGGGAGTTCCTGACCAGCCTGACCAACATGGAGAAACCTGATCTCTACTAAAAATACAAAATTAGCTGGGCATGGTGGCACATGCCTGTAATCCCAGCTACTCAGGAGCAGAGGAGAATCACTTGAATCCGGGAGGCGGAGGTTGTGGTGAGCCAAGATCACGCCATTGCACTCCAGCCTGGGCAACAAGAACAAAACTCCGTCTCAAAAAAAATAAAATAAAATAAAGTGATTAAAAGAGGACTATCAGCTGGGCACAGTGGTGCACGCCTATAATCTCAGCACTTTGGGAGGCTAAGGCAGGAGAATCCCTGGAGCCTAGGAGTTCAAGACTAGCCTGGGCAACAAAGGGAGAACTTGTCTCTAAAAAAAGAATTTTTTTCAATTAGCTGGGTGTGATGGTGCGCATGCCTATGATCCCAGCTACTCAAGAGGCTGAGGTGGGAGGGTCACTTGAGCCCAGGAGCTCAAGCTTGCAGAGAGCCGTGATTGTGCCACCGCACTCCAGCCTGGGTAACAGAGCAAGACCTTGTCACCCCGCACCAAAAAAAAAAAAAAAAAAAAAATCAATTCTTTTTTTCTCTAAAACATACCTTGTTCCTCTCCCAAGTCTTACCAATCTCACTGAATAACAATAATCATCCACCCAACTTTTAAAAGGAAAAAAAAAAAAATCTAGGGATTATCTTTGATTCCCTTTTCCTGTGGCCATGAAATACAGAACACAACCTGTTGACTCTACCTTCAAAATATATCCTGAATCCTTTCCTAGAATAATCACCTTTCACCTGGTCTGAAATAGCTTCCTAATTCATCCTTCTGCTTTTGTTCTGGTCCCTCTCCATACAGCAACCTTTTCACTCCCTTAATCGAAACATTCCAGTGGCTTCTCATCACCCTCAGAATAAAAATCATACTCCTTACCTTGGCTTACAAAGTCCCAGGTGATCTGGCCCCTGCCTACCTCACCAACCTCATTTGTACTACTCTCCCTCTTGCTCATTACACTCCAGACACCCTGTCTTCCTTTTTAGTTCCTTCCACACACCCACTGGTCCCTAGCTGTTAAACTAGCTGTTCCCTCTGCCTGGAATAGTCTTCTCCCTTTTCTTCAAAAGGCTGGCTCTTATCTTGACATTCAGATCTCACCACCACAAACAAATAAGATTTCTTCAGAGGCCTTCCCTGATTTAATCAATCAGTCACCCCACTATTTCAAGGTCAACCTGTTTCGATTATCTCCATAGCACTTGAGGTATATCATTATTACTCATATACTATCTCATCATTAGAATGTAAGGTCAATGATTAGGGACCTTTACCACTGTATTCTGATGTCTAAAACAGTGCCTGGCCCATAACAGAAGTTCATAAAGATGTTGAGTGAAAATTTTATGAATAAATGAATAGCCAGGCGCGGTGGCTCATGCATGTAATCCCAGCACTTTGAGAGGCCAAGGTGGGCAGATCACTTGAGGCCAGGAGTTTGAGACCAGCCTGGCCAACATGGCAAAACCCTGTCTCTACTAAAAATACAAAAAAATTAGCTGGTCATGGTGGTATGCACCTGTAGTCACAGCTACTTGGGAGGCTGAGGCAGGAGAATCACTTGAACCCAGGACGAAAAAGTTGCAGTAAGCAGAGATCACACTACAGCACTCCAGCCTGGGTGACAGAGTGAGACCCTGTCTCAAATAAATAAATACATAGAATCGAAAGGAAATGAAATGGATCAACAATTGCTTCTACTTTCACAGCTCTATTAATGATAGTTTTTTAACATCAAAAGGGAGGGAGGGCTAAAAAGTTTAACATTTTGCTAATTAAAAGAATTCTTTCCATACAATTTTAAGTAATTTGAGTATTTTCTTTACAGAATTACTTCTTTCTAATCTCATTCCAATCTATTAAAATCCAATGGTAGAGACACTCCATAGTAAAAATGTCAATTCTTCCCAAATTGATCTACAGATGTAATAAAATTTTTACCAAGGTTTTTTATAGACATAACCAAACTTACTCTAAAACTTATATGGAAAGACACAAGACCAAGAATAGCTAAAACAATTTTTAAAATAAAATGGGAGAAATTCTACCAAATTTCAAGACTTACCATATAGCTACAGTAATCAAGATTGTGTGGTATTGGTAGACGGACAGACACAGAGATCAATGGAGTAGAATAGAGAACCCAAAAATAGATCCACACAAACATGTCCAACTAATTTCTTAGAAAAATGCAAAGCAATTAAATGGAAGAAGGATAGCCCTTTCAACAAATGCAGCTAGAGGAATTAAACAACAATAAAAAAAAAAAAAAAAAAAAAAAAGCTTTCATCTAGACTTCACACCTTACACAAAATCTAATTTGAAATGAATCACAGACTTAAAACTATAAAACTTTCAGGAATAAACACACTTTTAGGAAAAAATCTTTGGGGCACAGGGCTAGTTGAAGAGTTCTTGGACTTGACACCAAAAGCAAGATTCATAAAAGAAAAACCTGATAAACTGGACTTGGTCAAAATTAATTTTTGTTCTATGAAAGACACAATTAAGAGGATATAAAGACAAGCTACAGCCTAGGAGAAAGTAATTGCAAGCCGCATACCCAATAAAGGACTTCTAACTATTATATATAAAGAACCATCAAAACTCAACAGTTAAAACAAATAAAAATTAAAAAATAAGCAATCCAATCAGAAAATGGGCAAAAGACATGAACAAACATTTCACTGAAAAGGACAGATGGCAAATAAGCATACGAAAACATGTTCAAAGTCATTATCCAGAGACATGCAAATCAAATCATAATGAAGCATTACTACATATGTATCTGAATGGTTAAAATAAAAAATAATACACTGCTGAGGGAAATGTAAAATGGTACTTTGGAAAAGTTTAGAAGTTTCTTACAAGGCTAAACGTAGTCTTACAACACAATACAATAGGAATTGTGCTCCTAGATATTTTTCTAAATGATCTGAAAACTTACATCCACACAAAAGTCCACATACAAATGTTACAGCAGTTCTGTTCATAATTTCCAAAAACTGGGAACAACCAAGATGTTTTTCAATAGGTGAATGGATAAACAAATTGTGATATAATCACAGTTGAATGTGGTTCATCCACTGTAGGATATTATTCAGCAATAAAGAGAGATGGAGGGAGAGCAAGAGTTACCAAGCCATGTAAAGACATGGAGAAACCTTAAATGCATATTGCCTAGCAAAAGAAGCCAGTCTGAAAAGGCCAGACACTATATTCTTTCAACCATATGACATTCTGGAAAAGGCAAAACTATGTTAACAGTAAAAGGATCAGTGGTTGCCATGAACTGGGGGTACAGGGGGCTGAAGAGATAGAGAACAGAATTTTAGGGCAGTAAAACTATTCTGTATGATACTGTAAGGGTAGACACATGTTATTATACATTTGTTGTCAAAAATGTACAGACCTGTACAAGTCACAGAGACATAATATAAGCTATAGACTAGTTAACAATAATGGATTAATACTGCATTATTGTTCAACAATTTTCACAAATTTACCATGGTAACAGATGTTAATAAAAGGGGAAAGTCGTGAGGGAAGAAGGTGTATGGGAACTCTCTGAATAATCTGCCCAACTTTCTGTAAACCTAAAACTGCTCTAATGAAGTCTACTAATTTTTCTCAAAAAATAGTAATGATGTCAAACACTGGCGAAGATGTAGAGAAACTGGATCACACATACACTGCTGGTGGGAATGTAAAATGATACAGCCACTCAGAAAAACTACAGCAGTATCTGAGAAAACTAAAAATGCATTTATCACATAACCCAGCAATTGTACTCTTGGGCATTTATCCCAAAGAAATGGAAAATTATGACCATTCAGAAGCCCGTCCACAAATGTTCACAGCAGCTTTATTAGTAATAGCCACTATGGAAACAATCCAAATGTCCTTCAACAGGTGAATGACTAAACTGTGATACTTCCCTACCTACCATGGAATACTACTTAGCTATAAAAAGGAACGAACTATTGATACATGCAACAACTTGGATGGATCTCAAAGGAATGAGCCTGAGTGAAAAGGCCAAGCTGAAACGTTTACATACTGTATTATTTCATTTACATAAAATTCTTGAAATGATAAAATTATAGAGATGGATTACTCAGTACATTATTTTCTACAATAGCATGTGAATCTACAACTACCTCAAAAAAAAAAAAAAAGTTTTATAAACTCCAAAGGTAAAGATATATTCTCTAAAATCAAATTATTTCCCCTTGAGTGGGCTAACAAATTTCCCAGAGCAGGAGTTCTAAGCCTCACATGCACACTGGAATTACCTCTAAAACTCTAGATGCTTAGGTAGCATCCCAAACCAATTAAATTAGAATCCTTCAAGGTGAAATCCAAGCATCTGCATTTCTTTTAATTCTCAGGTAATTCTAATGTTCAATCAAGAATGAGAATCAGTATCCTCCAGAGCTACAGAGTCTTTCTAAAAGCAACCTTTACTAACATGTTAATAAGACAATTAACAGTTGTTAAAGATCTGGCTGTTAACAATTCACTAAAATCTTAGCCACAAAAATTATTTCACTAATAAATGGAAACTTTAACCCAAACCTCACTCAGCTTCCAGAAACAAAAGGATTTAGCCCAAGAAAGACAATAGTTCATTACGGTTTATTTTTAAATAATATTCCTACTTGGCAATGGAGTTGGAGTCTGAAATTGAATGGTAGGTTCACTTTTATCTGTGGAACTTCTATGAGTACAAAAATGGAACTATTAATCTGGCTTTCCAAAATCTCTCATTCGAACAGGCCACCATATTCCATTTTAGATTTAACCTAAAATCAAAAGGAAAGATTTAAAATAACCTTGTGACTTTCACAAATTTAACTACCCACAAACCATGAGAACGAGGTACAGAACATGAAACATTTCAAATGAAGTATTCTTTTCCAACTGCATGTGAAAAGGCAACATTGACAGCATCACAAAAACCTTAATTTAAAACTAAATGTCATACAAGAACACCATATACACCCAAACAAACCCACATACCACATAATTCAACACATCCGGGCAGCAGTGGCTAAATAATGGAATAGCATGAATACTGCAAGGATTTTGGCAGACTGACGTACAGTCAGCTCACATTTCCTTTGCCTTTAACAGTGCCTGTTACATTACTAATGCAGTTTTTGGTTTTTAGGTGTGGAGTTTCATCAGGGGTTGGGGGGATGAGATTCCAATTACACTGTATAAATTATTAACTTAGATTCTCGGCCCACAAAAATTAAGCAAAACAACAATACTATACAACAGAATTTGACAGTTGTGTATCGCTTAAAACATTAAAGTGATAAGGGCATTTTTAAATATGTGTAATCTTTTTACAAGTTCAGAAGAACCACAAATTATGGAGCTACAAACCACCAGCTATTCAAAGGAAAATTGTAGCTTATAAAATATTGGCTGACTGCCAATACAAATAAACTTTTTTCCCCTCAAAAAAGCTTTATAAGCCAAAATACTGTTTCAAAAGTGACTATAACCATTTTATTCAATCAAGTAGTAATGTTACTAAACAGTAAAGGTAAGTAAAATCTTGTTCTAAAACAACCTGTAAAAACCTACAAACTATTTCTCACCAATATAGTAAAAATATCCCCTTGAACTTGGAAATCGAGATTTGGAAAATGTTAATCCATTACCATTTTACCAAAATTTCATCAGGCAATTAATTAAATAACATCAATAATTTTTTTAAAAAAAAAGAAACCGGTTCTGAGGTCTCAATACCAATCAATGAACTTATTATAAAAGGGGAGAATAGCCACCACCCAACGCCCCCCTCAAAAAGCTGTCCTTTGAAAAACAGCAAAAACTCCTCTACAATCCAAAAATATTTTTTTCAACTTACTGCCCACATGGAAAGGTAACAGAAGACAGAGAAGTGGATTCAAATCCCAGCTGCACTTTTTTTGGGGGGGTTGGGGGGGGACAGAGTTTTGCTCGTCACCCAGGCTGGAGTGCAGTGCCACAATCTCCGCTGACTGCAACCTCCACCTCCCGCGATCAAACGATTCTCCTGCCTCAGCCTCCTGAGTAGCTCGGATTACAGGCACACGCCACCATGTCTGGCTAATTTTTTGTACTTTTAGTAGAGATGGGGTTTTATCATGTTGGCCAGGCTGGTCTCGAACTCCTGACCTCAGGTGATCCACCCACCTCAGCCTCCCAAAGTGCTGGGATTACAGGTATAAGCCACCGCGCCCAGCCTTCCACCTGTACTTTTAACTAGTAAGCACCTTGGGCAACTGATGAGTCCAGGCCTGTTTTCTCATTTATAAAATGGAAACACCATCACTCACCTCACGGTGAAACTGCTGTGAGGATCTAAAGATGAAATGTGTGTAAAATGTGTATCACAGTATCTGAACAGAGTAATAAGTGCCCCACAAATACAGGCCAGAATTACTGCATTCACCAAATGGAGAAATGAGAATCTCTACACGGATGGACAATTTAGATGTTGTAAGTAAATAAAATATATCTAACATACATGATTCAGAATTTGGATGTCTTAACATCAGAGCTGAGTTGAAAAAGTTGAAAAAACAACAATAATAATAGTTGCCATGAGTGCCTTCTATTGCTAGGTACTTTGTAATTTTTTTTAAATCGTTATAATAATTCAGTAAAGGAACAACTAAGCACAAGGTATATACAAGGTGCTTTAGGAAGCATTAAAACATTTCTATGAAGTCTTGAGTGGAGATCTTTACTCTGTATATGTATATATTTTTCCCCCAAAGCAAGGTATCTGAGTATTCCTATTCCATTCTAATGAGATACATAAATGCAAATAACATAATACTCATATCTCTATGATCTTGGCATATTTAACTCAGTCTTTTCTCATCTATCAAATAGCAATAACATACTTGTCCTACCACTATCGTGTTGAATTTTTTTTTTTTTGAGACGGAGTCTCACCCTGTTGCCCAGGCTAGAGTGCAATGGCGCAATCTCGGCTCACTGCAACCTCTGCCTCCTGGGTTCAAACAATTCTCCTGCCTCAGGCTCCCGAGCAGCTGGGATTACAGGCACATGCCACCATGCCCAGTTTTTTGGTTTTTGTCTTTTTTTTTTTTACATTTTTAGTAGAGACGGTGTTTTACCATGTTGGCCAGGCTGGTCTTGAACTCCTGACCTTGTGTTCCGCCCACCTCGGCCTCCCAAAGTGGTGGGATTACAGGCATGAGCCACCGCGCCCAGCCTAATTATTTTTTTAAGGCAAATAAAAACCTGTAAAAATACTGGAAACTACATAAACCTATAAAAATAGGGTAACAATGTGAGAATAAAAATATAAATTGCAACATAATTTTGTAAGCCTAACATAATTATTCAATATTAATTCTCCAGTATAACCTGATGTAATGATTACCTGAAAGAGCACTGTACTTCCCCATAATAAAGAATGGCTTCCTCTCTCCTTGTATGTCACCCTGTTATGTAGAACTTGCATTAGTCATATTTTACAACGTTATACGTCTTACCCCTTCAGCTAGACTATAAACTACTAAAAAGAAGGAACCTGTTTTTCATAATTCATATCTTTAGCAGTACCTAATACACTGCTTTGTCTACAAAAAACACTCAAATATTTAATGACCAATTCACTGCATTTCAAAATTAGGCAGCTCTTTACTTCAAGGGATAAGATGGTTTCTAAGACTAAGGCTTATATAGCAATCCATTTCATAGTCATTTCCAGATTATCTATTATTAAGGCTGCAGGCCGAGCCATGTGGCTCTCACCTGTAATCCCAACACCTTGGGAGGCTGAGACAGGAGGATCACTTAAGCTCAGGAGCTGGAGACCGCAGGTCACAGTGAGACCCCATTTCCACACACACAAAAATGTTTTAATTAGCCAGGCAAGGTTGTGTGCACCTGTAGTCCCAGCTACTCGGGAGGCTGAGGTGGGAGGATCACTTGAGCCCAGGAGGTGAAGGCTGCAGTGAGCTGTGATCATGCCACTGCACCCCAGCCTGGGAACAGTGTGAGACCCTGTCTCAAAAAAATAAAAATACGCTTTGGAAGGCTGAAGCAAGAGGATCACTTGAAGCCAGGAGCTTCAGACCAGCCAGGGCAACATAGCAAGACTCCATCTGTACAAAAAATTAAAAAGTTAGCTGGGCATGATGGTACATGCCTGTAGTCCCAGCCACCGAGGAGGGTGGAGTGGGAGGATCACTTGAGCCCAGGAGTTCAAGGCTATAGTGAGGTATCATTGTACCACCGCACTTCAGCCTGGGTGGCACAGCAAGACCCTGTCTCAAAAATTATTTTTTTAAATCTGTTTTTAAATTATTTTTAATTAAAAAAATAAAACAATTGAGTCACTCCTTTTAATTTACTAATTTTTCTAACTTTGCTGTTCTCCAAGTGTGGTTTAGGAACCCCTGGAGGTCCTCAAGACCCTTTCAGGGGTCTGCAAGACCAAAACTATTTTCCAAGTAGTATGAAGGCATTATGTTTCTTTTCCACTCTCATTCTTTCCAGAGTACAGAGTTTCCCAGAGGCTACATAACATTGAAGACGGAACATAATGAAATAGGTCATGTTTGGAAGACCAACATAATTCAATGAATAAATATTTTCCAATGGCCAATGCATAATGTTATAAAACCATGTATAGATAAAAGATCCAATCAAAATGCAAAGACCAGTGGATTTTAATGTAACAGGACACAAAATGTTCACTGATCTGGTTTCAGATTCTATCAAGATACTACCATTTGTCAAGTTTTGGTGTAGTATCAAAGAAGAATATCCAAAATTATCTGAAAAAGCTATTAAAATATTTCTCCCTTTTCCAGCTACATATCTGTGCGAAGGCAGATTTTCTTCTTCATATACTTCATCGAGAACATACTAAAACAGACACTGCAGAAGCAGCTATCCGAACTCAGTTGTCTTCTAGTAAGATGTAAAACAATGCTAGTCTTCTCACTAGTTTTCTTCTGTCTTGGAAAAGATATTTTCACTAAAAATATATCACTTGTGTTAACATACAATAGTTTATTAGCATTTTTAAATATTTAAATGTTTATCAGATATAATTTCTGATAAATACCAACAGACACAACTCATATAAACAAGAGATCGCTGGGGTCCTCAATAATGTTTAAGATTGTAAAAGGGTCTAGAGTTAAAAAAAATTTTTTTTTTGAGAACTGCTGACCTAACTATATGTAGGTTGATTTGGTGTTCCCAATGCTAGGTTTTCTATCCATTTCACTAGGGAAATGCAGACATTTCTCAGGAATGAACCATGTCAACACTGTACAACTTGGAGCCGTGGTCACTAAGCTCTTGACGAATGTTTTGCACTCATTTTGCAGTGAGCGATCCCCCAATGAATAACAGATTTTCAGCGAAAGGTTTTGGCAAAAACATCAACCATTCTCTTTAATTCCCATTTCATAACGAGTATCACTTAGCTATATGATCTGTTTTAAAGGAAAGCAGGGCTGGCTACAGCGGCTCACACTTATAAGCCCAACACTTAGAGAGACTGAAGCAGGAGGATGGCTTGTAGCCAGGAGTCCAAGACCAGGGTGACATAACGAGACCCCATTTCTATTTTTAAAAATCTTTTTTTTTTATTAGTCAGGTCTGGTAATCCTGTAATCCTAGCTACTTGTGAGGCTGAGGCAGGCAGATCACTTGAACTCTAGGAGTTCGAGGCTGCAGTGAGCCATGATCATACCACTGCACTCCAGCCTGGGCAATGGAGAGAGAGACCCTCTTTGTCTCTGTTTCTTTTTTTGTTCTCTTTCTCTCTCTCTCTCTCTCTCTCTCTCTCTCAAAGAAAAATAGTACAAGAGAACAGACAGCACTTACTGAGCCCATCGCAAATGCCAGGCTCTGTGCTTTACTTATATTATCCCATAATCCTCAAGACCCCGCAAAGTAACACAGAGCAGGAAACTGACTCAGACTTACTTGCCAAAGGTCACACAGTTAATAAATGGTGGAATGAGGACTCAAAATCAGGCCTGTGTGACTCCAAAGTCCAGTGCTCTCTCCACTTTACCAGGTAACCTTCATAATACTGGATTGGAAATCAAACCTGTCACTTACTTTCTATGTCCTTGAGTGAGTCACAACTTCTCTCAGCCAGCTTTTTCATGTACAAGATAAGACGGTTAGTACAGCTGACCTCCAAAGTCCCCTCCATAGCTAATATTCTTAGATTGCAATTCATCACAACCTCAACCGTACAGTTATAGTGTAAAAGGCCTTTTGTATGTCTTTCTAAACAGAACAAGAGAAACAGTGCAAATAATGGGGAAGTAATGAGTAAAATTGTTAGGCTAAGATATGACTTTTCATGCTTTAACATTAA